AATGGTGACACCTCCTAGCTGTACGGCTGAGAGCCTCCCTGGATAAACATTCCTGCCGACGTGAATTCCCAAACACTGCTTCACACCTATTCATGCGGGTGAAATAAGTGCGAACGTTCTGTAACATTAACAGAGGGATTCCAATGCTGTCTGCAACCATTTGCTTTTGGCCATAGAAACCCATCATTACTCCCTCTCCCATTTCCATCAATCCTCATCCCTGCCACCAGCACCCCTCAAGGCTTGAACCATGCCCTCCAACCTCAACCAACACCCCTCAACCTCAACCACACAACACAACCTCAAACCGTGCCCCTCCAACCTCAAACCATGCCCCTCCAACCTCAAACCATGCCCCTTCAACCTCAAACCCCCTACCCTCCAATTTCAAACCACACCCCTCCAGCCTCAAACCGCACCCTCCAACCTCAAACAATGCCTCTGAAACCTCGGACCATGTCCTCCAGCCTCAAACCACCTTCCTCCAACCTCAAACCACGCCCCTTCAGCCTTAACCATGCTCTCCAGCCTCAAACCATGCTCATTCAGCCTCACACTTGCATCGCTCAGATGAAATGTTAAACCCAAGGTCCCACCTGTTTATTCTGGTAGAACCTAAAGATCCCGTGATCTTATTGAAAAAAAGAGGATTTTTCCTACGTCCTGGTCAGCCGTCCACCAGGTAAATTGGTTATTGGTTGCGAGGAAGCCTGAAGGCCTGTGGGACATGGCTGTGAGCAAATAGCATCTGTTTTTAACCTACAATTTCACACTCACTGCTCTTGACAATTCCCTGTGAAGCGCTTTGAGATGTTTCCACGTTAAAAAAGGTGCTGTTACCCAATGCAAGGGTTATTTTAGTAAGTTGCACGGGGGCGGGTAGAGATGTGCTACATAGTCAGTCAGCTCACTGTAAAATCCATGCAAAAAACCCTATGTTTTTACATGCAGTTTAAAACCTGGTGTTAATTAGTAAGTGAAAACTCACAAGATGGTGTAATCATTTTTGTCTCGCACCAGAACGGAAGAGAAAGAAGTTTGCAGTGTGACGGCCTAAGAACATGAGAAGTTTCTAGGTGAAGGAAGACCAAGGTCCATCCAGTTCGCCTTCCACCATCCTGGCAGTCGCTTGCCATGTCATGTCCCAAACTATATACTGTATCCTGAGACATTATTTCCTAACAAAAATCTAATTTCTCCTTGAAAGAATCAACACGTTCTGCTTCCACCGTCTGTCTCCCTAGGGAGCCTGTTCCATACGTTTAGTTATTTATTTATTTGGCTTTCACCACATCTAGTCTTGTCACGCTCGTGGGAACGAGCAAATGCCCAGCTCAGGGAGTTTTTCAAGCAAGAGGCTCAGCCATACAGACTGAGATGGACGGTCACTGGCTCAATCTGGCCTGGCCCGTGCTGAGTTAGCACAACAGAGGAAAGAATTTGCATTTTTAATCACGTCTTCTCACGTCAGAATGTCTCCAGGCGTTTTAGAGCGATCGTCAAGTTATTGAGCCAGGAAGTGAGTGACCGATTTACTTGGAGGATTGTCGGCCAGGCATCGAGAGAAAATCCATTCTCTTTTCAAGTGGTGCAATGGGATCTTTAACGTGGAGTCCTGTAGCTCAGTGGTTAGAGCACTCGTTTTGCAAGCGAGAGACTTGGGTTTGATTCCCGGCAGGGCGAAACCTTGGGCAAGTTTCCTTACTCCACATGCCTGATAATAATCCCTCAAAAAAACAATAATAAATTGGTCATTTCAATCCACGACTGTTTGTGGGGAAGCTGCTGTGCGTAATTGGCTGCCACATTTCGCCACAAATACACAATTCACTTTACAGTATATTCTGTGAAGCACTTTGAGACGTCTAGAAGACGTGAAAAGCGCTATATCAAATGCAAGGATTATTATTATTAACGTCCACCTGAACAGCCAGATGTGACCTGGGTTTATTGTCTCACCTGAAGGATGGTGCCTTCATCAATAGCAGTGCTGCACTGCAAAGTAAGCCCAAGAGTCAACTTCCTACAATAGTGAAAGTCCTGCCACTGTACCAAGCTGTCACTGGGAGATGGGCTTCGATAGGAAGGTGGAAAGCCAGAGATTTCTGCTCCTGCTCACTTCCTAGAGAATCCGTTCTGGAAGGTGCGTGTGTGAACTCACTCAGGCTCCACTGGGATGAGATTTCTAATGGGATTGAGAGGGAAAACTCTGAACGTAATTCTCAAATACCCCAAAGCAGCAGGACCAGAGGGCATAGGGCGAGAACAGCAATGAAATTGATAGCGCAGAAGGAGGCCATTCACCCCATCGAGTAGGTGCCATCGCTCCCTTTATTCCCTTTTTGTAAAATTGATAATAATAAATAACAATCCTTGCAAAGAGCTTCACAGTATATACTGTAAAGTGGATCATCGGTGTATTTTGTGGGCAAAACACAGCTGCCAATTGCACACAACAACATCCCACAAACAATGGAGTCAGTGACCCAATTTTATTTGGGGGAATTGTTGGCCAAAACACAGCGAGAGAGAAACTCCCTTCTCTTTTCAAATAGCGCCGTTGGATCTTGAACATCCTCCTGAACAGGCAGACGGGACCTCGGTTTAACGTCTCATCTGACGGATGGCACCTCTGGCAATGCAACACCCTCCCAGCAATGCATTGGAGCGTCATCTTACACTGTGTGATTCCATGTCCCGACGTGGCGGCTTGAACCCCAAAACCTCCTGACTCGGAAACGAGAGCACTACCACTTGCGCCAGCCCTGACGCACATGAATTCCAGACAGCAAGTCATCGACTCCAATGTGAGCTGTGAAACCATTCCATTTTGCAAATGGCTGCCGAGCTGCTCACCAGACAGTTGCTAGAAAGCAGAGTTAATTACTTGCGGAGGTGCTCTGACATGTTTCGATCCATTGCGGTGCCATAAAATCGCAGCTCTTTCTTCCGTGCTGTGACAGGGTTTGAAATGACAGTGCACCTTTACAGCTGCTGGAGCCATTAGTATTTCGGGTACATTTTGTACACACAGCGTCGCCAGAGGCAATGCAATAAATCCTGCACAGGGCTGATGGAATGGCTCGAGCAAACAGAATAACATTATTCCTTTGGTGCAATGACGCTGGAGTAATAGTTTTTTTTAAAAAAGATTTCTCCTGCTTTGCCCTTCGGTTGAGGTCTTGTTCTTCGCACCAACTCTCTTTCTCTCTCTGTAGCCTCAGTTTCTCTTTCTCTCCCTCTCTCTTTCCTCAGTTTCTTTCTCTCCTCAGTTTTTCTCTTTCTCTCTCTCTTTCTCCTCAGTTTCTTTCTTTCTCTCTCTCCTCAGTTCCCTCTCTATCCCCCTCTATCCTCAGTCCCTGTTGGTCTCGCTGGTTTATATAAATGCATATATATTTATATATATTTATTTTATAGTCTCACTATCTTCTACAATAACAACTTGCATTTATATGTGCCCTTCAAGCGGGGTAGCGTCGCAGAGCGCTTAACATAGCGCCCTTCACGTAAAACAGCGCGTCGGAATGCTTCTGCCCACACACACACACTAAGCTCTATGTTATACAGCAGGAACTTAGTAATTGTTAGAGTTTGCCATGTACTGTCTGGAAGGTCACAGACACAAACCCCTGATTTGTGCTGAGGGCTGAGGGAGCAGGTTTCAGCTGGGGCAGCTTTAGGGCCATTGCTCCAGAGTCCCTGTCAGAGAAAGTAGGTAAGATAGATAAAATAAGACAAGGTTCCTGCTCCCAACCTTTACCCAGAGATGGCTATCTCCCCTTATCCCCCCACCCCCACCTGAATCACTAAAATCACATCTGTGTGGGGACATCATGTGGGGACAGAATCAAGGGTGACTGCAGAACTGTACAGGGTGTCCACAAAGTCCTGTTACCGCCCCCACCTCCCCGTTACAAAACAGAGATGCAAGGCTACAGAGGAGCTGAAACAAGAATTCAGAGATGCATTTTGCCTCCTCATCCCATCCATGCTATGGAATATGTGGCACCAAATGTGGCGACGGATCATTATCTCCCATGAAAATGCTGGCGCTCACACTCACACCGATCCTCTGGACGTCTAAATACAGTTGTGCACTTGTACTGAATACAATTAAGGACTTCTAAGTATAATTGTTGTCATTCTGCCACGTGTTTCAGTTGATGGTCAGTTCACTGTAGAAAACAAAATGGAGTTAACAGGACTTTGTGGACACCTTGTATTAGGAAACAGTGATAATTTCAAGAGAGGCAGGGGAGGAGGAGGAGAGAAAATTGGAAGAGAGAACTCAAACAGAAATGTTTTCGACAAATTTTAATCATCTAGAAAGCTCGCCTGGGGACTATGAGCCATAATGCCTCCCACTACGCCCCAAAGTGTGTCAGCCTGGCGCAGTGGTAGCATTCTTGCTCAGAGTCAGAGGTTGTGGCTTCAAATCCCACGTCAGGACTTGGAATTACACAGTCTACGTTGACGCTCTAATGCAGTGCTGGGGGAGGGTGTTGCATTGTCAGAGGTGTTGTCCTTCAGATGAGACGTTAAACTGAACTCCCCGTCCGTGCGCTGTTCAGGTGGATGTTAAAGATCCCGAAATAGGAGGCAGTTCGAAAAGAGAAGGGGATTTCTCTCTCCCGGTATCCTGGCCAACAAATCCCCCAAATAAAAAAAATTGGTCACTCACTCCACAGCTGTTTCTGGGACACTGCTGAGCGCAAACTGGCTGTCGCGTTTCGCCCACAAAATACACAGTCACTGCAATTTAGAGTGAATCCCGTGAAGCCTTTTTGAGACGTCTCGATGATGTGATTAAATGCTGCATCAAACGCAAGGATTATTTTATTATTATTCCGAACTGCCATATTATTATTAAATGACAATGTAATTCTAAATGATCTTTCAGACGATGACTGAGTGGAATTTCAGGCCACTGGTACCATCAACGACGTGTAAAGGCGCTATATCAATTATTATTAATGAAGTGTGCCAAACACTGCCCCTACCTCCTTGCCCAGGTCTTCTCGAATCACTTGCTCAATCTCCCATAGGTTGCTCTGAGGTGCTTGGCTGTGCAGGACCTTGAGGGTGCTGGTGTACTCCTGGGGCAAAAGATAGTCCAAGGCACCAAGATGTTGGCCCACTTTGATGAAGGTGCCTCTGTTGGCGCAGCACAGGTCTAGGAGCAGATTGGCAGAGCGAAGGTGTACCTTGGCAGAGGGGCACAAGAGGGAGAGTTAGGTTCAACCAGTTGGAATCCTGATACAACATAAAATTACATTTACACAGCGCCTTTCACGTCGGGTGGACGTTCCAAGGTGCAGTCAGAGGCATAGTTGGGATCAGGGGGGCAGGGAGGCTATATCAAATGCAAGGGTTATTATTATTACCTCTTTGATCATAACTTTGGTCACCGTTAACTCTCCCTCTCCCAGTGTTGCCCGAGCTGAAATCAGTGAGACCAGCGAAGCAAACCTGGGACCTGCCACCCCACAAACACACAGACTCCCTCTCCCACCCCCTCATACACACTTACACTCACCGCACCTCCACACAGACACGCACTCACTACACCCAAACATCCATCCACTCATCCACTCACTCACGACAGCCCTCACACACACATCACACCCCACATACACACACACATCCCATATACACACACACAAACCATACCCCACACACACACTCATCACACCCCATACACACACACAACGACAACAACAAAATTACATTTGTATAGCGGACACAATCACTGCACCTCACACACACACCTGATCTCATTGAGTTCCACTGATATCATCTGGTTATTCCACAACAACACAATTACATTTATAGAGCGTTTTTCATGTCGGGATGATGTCCCAAAGCGCTGTACAGTCAGATGTCGGGGCCCAAGCATGGGGTAGGGGTGGTGTAGGGGTGAGGGAAGGCAGAGAGGTGGGAAGAAGACCAAAGGCACAGTCGAAGAGAAGGGTCTTGAGACCGGCCTTGAAGGAGGCGAGGGAGGAAGCGAGGCGAAGGGACCGTGGGATGGAGTTCCAAGAGTGTGGGGACAGAGAGGCTGAAATTCCAGTGCAGTGAGAGCAAGTTTGACCCAATGCTCACAGCGGGTCAACTGCCTGATCACAGCATATTGAAATAAGATGAGGTGTCAGCCTGTTTACACAGCGCTGCAGTGCCGAGGCACATTAATTGGCCACACTGTCAGCGCACGGCCACACGACAGATGCTTAATTGAATCTTTGTTTTGCTTATACCACCCTCACCAGCTCCAGAATATTTATCCGAAACATAAAATAAAATTCCTATAGATGTCATTCCACGTTGGGCCAAGATGTCTGGAGGTGTACCTCAAACGAGTCTGCTCTGAGCAGGAAAACAGACCCATTTCCTTGCTCTGTGTGGAATTCCCAAAGCTTGTAATGGTCGTGGGGTGTAAGCACAGGGGAGCACGTGCTTAAAGGTCCCAAGTTTAAAATTCCTGCCCCAATTGGCACAGTTGTTGTTGTATATAATAATAATAATAATCCTCACATTTGATATGGTGCCTTATCATGTCTTCCAGACGTCTCAAAGCACTTGACAGAATATACTGTAAAGTGAATTGACTGTATATTTTGTGGGTGAAATGCGGCAGCCAATTGCGCACAGAAGTGTCCCACAAACAGTCATGGATTGAGTGACCGCATTTTTTTTGAGCGATTATTACCCCCGGAAAGCGATCCACCAATCGACTAAAAAAACGGGTTCCCACTTACTGCTCGGTGAACAGAGGCGTGTGAATTATTAAGTGACACAAAGACACTGAATGGTGTACAGAGAGAAGAGGGCTCACTGCTGTACCCTTTTCCTTCTCCATCTCTTAATCTGCACATTCCCTTGCTTCCCCGTCTCAAGTTCACCCTGTTAAAAATCTGCATTGATTTTTTCACTTCGTCTCGCTCGACAGGCACAGCTTGCACATCCATGCTGATAACGTTCAAACATCTTTTCCCAAAACCATGGGTCAATGTTCCGCACTCAATAGCATGACAGGACGGCTGGGGGAATGGGACCCTCGCAGAGGGAATAATAGTAACAATAATAACGACAACAATAACATTTATATAGTCCCCTTCATGCTGGATGGCATCTGGAGCGCTTAAATATATAATAATAATAATCCTTGCATTTGATATAGCGCTAAAATCACAAAATTTCGCAAGTGTTTCACAGGGAACTGTGTCAAGTTAAGCGATTGTGTATTTGGATTCACCCACAAAATACACAGTCACTCCACTTTACAATAATAATCCTTGCATTTGATATAGCGCCTTTTCACGTCTTTGCGACATCTCAAAGCGCTTCGCAGAATATACTGTAAAGTGAATTGTGAGCAAAACAATATATTCTGTCAAGAGCTTTGAGACATCTCAATGACTTGATAAGGCGCTATATCAATTGCAAAGATTATTATTAATATTGTCGTATAAAAGCAGCAACTGATCTGTACACCACGAGGCCCAACAGCCAAGACGTGAGTGAACCTTTTGTCCTGTTGAAAGATTCCACGACATTATTAGAGAAGAGAAGGGAGTTTCTCCCATTGACCTGACCAACAATCCTCCAGATAAATAGGTAAATTCATGGCTTTTTGTAGGACTTTACTGTGTGCATATTTTCTGTTGAGTTTGCCTATAAAAGTTACTACGTTTGACAACGATCGACTGTGAAGCACGATGAGTTTTTCAAACCATCCAGGAGATACACTTGCAAGGATAGCGACAGAGGCAGCTCATTTCAACAGGAAGTTACCGACCTCGAAGTGTCATGTTTGTGTAAGTAGCGAAGATCCCTTTAAGGAATAGAATACAGTAGCTGTTGGTTGTGAGACGGGGAGCGAGGGTTTACTGGGCTTTGAGAGAAGTGTGGAATGAGAACAGGCAGGTCCTTCGGATGCCGCAGGAAGAGGTCGTTGGATTCAAAAGGCGTAACTTGACAGGGGGCAGATGAGGAGGCATCGAGGACATACTGGGCTGGGATAAGCAAGCCCGGAAGATGTAATCTGACCAGTCAGTCAGGAGGGAGTCAAGTGTAGCTGGGTGATAGAACACAGTCTGATAGCAATGACTTTGCCCCTCTAGGGACCGAGGTTTGAATCACTCCTCTATAGCTGAAGTGAAGGTACATCTCTTACAACAACAAGATTCCATTTGTAGAGCGCCTTTCACGTCAGGAGGACGTCCCAAGGCGCTGTACAGTTGGGTCATGACCCGAGCAGGGGGGAAATGGTCAGGGTGAGGGGAGGGAAGGGAGGGAGCGAGGAGGGGGGAAATGGTCAGGGTGAGGGGAGGGAAGGGAGGGAGCGAGGAGGGGGGAAATGGTCAGGGTGAGGGGAGGGAAGGGAGGGAGCAAGGAGGGGGTAGAGAGTCGAGAGGGGAGCTGAAGGCTGAAGGTCAAAGAGAAAGGTTTTGAGACCGGCCTTGAAGGAGGAAAGGGAGGAAGCGGCGAAGGCACCGGGGGATAGAGTTCCAGAGCCTCGGGGCTGAGAGCCCAACCACCGATGGTAGGGCGGTTGGGGCGGGGGACGTGGAGCAGACCGGAGCCAGAGGAACGGAGGGTACGGGCGGGTAGGTAGGGGGATAGTAGGTCGGAGAGGTAGGAGGGAGCGAGGCCGTGAATGGCCTTGTAGGTGAGCAGGGGGGAAATGGTCAGGGTGAGGGGAGGGAAGGGAGGGAGCGAGGAGGGGATAGGCTTACCAAAGGCTGTCTATGGGCTCAGGTGACAGGAGCTCGGTTATAGTAATAATAATAACAATCCTTGCATTTGATAAAGCGTCCATAACATTGGAACTTCTCAAAGCGCTTCACAGGTGATTGCTATCAAATGTAGTCATAGACAATAGTTGCACACAATATGCACACAGTATGCTGTTTGTGGGACGCTGGTGTGTGCAATTGGCTGCTGCGTTTTGCCCACAAAAGGGCTTTGAGACGTCTCAAAGATGTGATAAGGCTCTATAACAAATACAAGGATTATTATTATTAAGCAGTCATGATGAGGTGAATGGCCAATTTATTTGGTGGTTGCCAGCCAGGACACTGGAAGAAACTCCATCCTCTCTTCCAATAGTATCATGGGATGTTTGACGTCCATCTGACTACACTGATGTGACAATCTAACAGCCATTTCACAGCTATTAGACCGTATTCAAGAATTCAACTTTTTTTTTCCTCAAGGGCACAAGATCCTAGCAGCTATTTATTTCAGCTTACTTAAAAGCAAAAAATCCCTTTCTGCTAACAATGAATTTACCAAACAGCAACTCAAGATCAGGCTTGAATGATGCAGGGTTGTGTATGTGAAAGCCCATGTCAGATGTAAACAGTTCCCGTGTCTCATTTGATAAGATGTCTTGTGGCAGCAACAAACATACGATATTCTGTCATTGAGACTTAGAATAAAAATAACTTGTTTTTTTCCTAATATTTATACATTCCGGCAGCAACAACGTCAGCCACTGCCATAGACTTGTCGAGTTTAACTCTTACCTGGATAAACTGGAGCTCCGTTGAAGTGGAGCATAAATCTGAGGTCGTGGAAGAGCAGTGGGAATTATGACACAGAATCTATTGTAAACTGGATTGACTGTGTATTTTTGTGGGCGAAACGCGGCAGCCAGTTATGCACAGCAGTGTGACCCAAACAGTCGTGGATTGAGTGACCAAATTATTATTTTTGAAGGGATTATTACCCCCGGAAAGCGATCCGCCAATCGACTAGCAACCTTGTTCCGACTTACTAGTAGGTAAACAGAGGCGGGTGGACTCAGGAAACTTAATTAAGATTTCGCAACGCGCCGGGGAATCGAAACCGGGTCCTCGCTTTTGAGGGCAACGTGCTAACCACTATGCTGCAGGATGCCACAACTGTTTGCTCAGGGAGGCAGTGGAGGTGGATAGTATGCAAAGTATCAAGGATGATCTGGATGGACATTTGGTGGAGAAAAATGGAGTGGGGGGGTATCCAACTAGTCAATCGCCGCTCGGTCGAGTATGAGAGAGAGTCGTCAATGTTAAAATTTTGGTAAACATGACTGCTTTCTCTTGTTTTTATTGAGCGTGGGCGAGATGTCACCTTGCTGCGATTGACCATTTGGAGACAACAGATCAGCTACAATCTAACAGAATGGCGGAACAGGCTCGAGGGGGCTGTATGGCCTACTCCT